TCCACTTCTATTCAACACGGTGCTGGAAGTCCTCTCAAGAGTAATCAGACAAGAGAAGGGAATTAAGGGTGTCCTAATGGGGGTAGAAGAGGTCAAACTTTCACTCTTTGCTGATGATATGCTGTTGTACCTAGAAAATCCCAAGGATTCAGCCAAGAGATTCCTAGAATTGATAAATGAATTCAGTAAAGTCTCAGAATACAAAATTAATGCACGCAAATCAGTGGCATTCATATATGCCAATAACAATCAAGCCAAAAATCAAATCAAAGACAACATCTTTCACAATAGCATCAAAGAAATTCATATATTTAGGAATATATTTAATGAAGGAGGTGAGAGATATTTATAGGGAGAACTACGAAACACTGAGAAAAGAAATTGTAGATGACGTGCACAGATGGAAATCCCTACCATGCTCATGGATCGGTAGAATCAATATTGTTAAAATGTCCATTCTACTTAAAGTGATCTACAGAATTAATGCAATCCCTATCAAAATTCCACCATCATTATTTACAGATTTAGAAAAAATAATTCTACACTTCATCTAGAACCAGGAAGACCTCATATAGCCAAAGCAATTTAAGCCAAAAGAACAAATTGGGAGGCATCAGTCTGCCAGACTTCAATCTTTACTATAAGGCTATAGTAACCAAAACAGCATGGTACTGGCACAAGAACAGAGATATAGACCTTTGAAATAGGACGGAGATCCCAAATATAAAACCATCCTCGTATTTTCATCTAATCTTTGACAAAGCAGACAAAAGTATACATTGGGGAAAAGAATCTCTATTCAATAAGTGGTGCTCGGAAGACTGGAGATCCACATGCAGAAGATTAAAACTGGATCCCCATCTCTCACCTCTCACAAAAATTAACTCACGTTGGATAACAGACTTAAACCTAAGGTGTGAAAACTTAAGAATTATGGAAGAAAATGTGGGGAAGACTCTTTTAGACATCAGCCTAGGTAAAGAATTTACGAAGAAGACCCCCAAAGCAATCACAGCAGCAAAAAAAAATAAACAAATGGGGCCTGATCAAATAAAAAGCTTCTGCACAGCCAAGGAAACTGTCCTTAGAGCAAATAGACAATCTACAGAATGGGAGAAAATATTTGCTTTCTACACATCCAAATAAAAGGCTGATAACAAGAATCTATATAGAA